CTCACTATAAAATGCCCAAAATGCCCCTAGCTCAGTAAGGGGTCAAAAACTCAAAAAAATGTAACTTTGCACCAAGTATGCATTTGGCCCTAAATGCATTTCTAGGTTGAAACGAATGTGCACGCAAGTGTATTTAGTGTTTTTAGGCAAACGAGAATGGTCCTCGGCTCCCAAGAAGACCCGATGCAAAATTCGACCTTCCAACGGCCAAAAAGGCGAAAATGCATAAGAATTGAGAAATTTGAAAACCAAAATTAACAAATGATTTCAAATTACTGTTTGGCCCTTGACCACACTTCATACATGATTAATGAGACCCTACGAAAGAATAAAAATGAAATTTCCACACCCGATGCAAAAGTTGTGACACAATGTCTAAGCATTTTTCAACGTTTTCATATTAAGCCTTGAAAACGAAAGTGCATAGAAAGCAAGATACATGTCATTAGCTTCCGGCCTCATCTCATACATGTTAAATATATTGAAAAGAGTGTACTCGTGTACACTTTACATAAATGGGATCAAATATTACAAGGTTAACATGTGGCTACAAAAAGGCATTTTATGCTAACACTTGCATAATGGAAACTTAGAAACTATAAGCCATCCAAGGAGCAATAAGCATCACGAACCAAGTCTTCATACCTGAAAAATATCCCCACTACGTGGGTGAGTAACATAAAGCTACTCGTAGGAAGTGAGCATGCATCGACTTAGCATTTAACAAATTATCACCTTATGGTGAAACATGTTAAAGGGGGCTCATGCCACCTAACGTCTATGTCAAAGTGAGACTCAGGGATCATCCTAAGCTATTCATACAATTGAAATGAACTACGGCATACAAGTATGCATGCTCAAGTACACTAAACTGTATTAAAACATGATACACGACATTCAAGTACACATGCTCACAAGTATACTAAATCATGTTAAACGGGATAAGCAATATCTAGCATACATACATAAGTATAAGATATATGTATAGTGTACTCATAAATCAAGTATACAAACACAAGTATACTAAGCTAAACACATACGCATAAGACAAGTATGCATGGCATAAGTATACAAAAATGAAATCCGCACACACAAGACAAGCATACTAAGCGTAAATACACTAGATAGAGTTTAGATACACCAACAAGGATACAAGTTCAAGTATATAGTTTCAAGTATACTAAATGAGATCAAAATACATAGGCAAGCACCAATTCTCAAGTTACAAGTAATCCATGAATAACAACTTGAAATTGAATGCGAAATCAAAGTGAAAAGACTAGGACATGTGGTCATTAGACCAAGCAAGTGTTTCCGGGTAATTACGACCCACAAGGCACTACCTAGTGCACACATGCATAAGTTATTCCGGTTACGACCCACAAGGTACTACCTAGTGCGTACTTATGACTTATAAGACTCTTGTCTCCGTACTAGAGCCAAACCCTAACCATCACGTGAAATATGTCCTTACAAGCTTTCCAAAATTAATAAGTCCAAAACTTATACAAAAATCAATAAGTTAGACCAAACTTATACCAAATCCACTGATGCATAAAACCATCATCCATGCACAAATAAGGTTGAATCCACACAAACCATGTCCTATAATTCAAGTCTAGATAGCATATGACATGTCAAGCCTCTAATATGCAACAGTTGAACCACATTACCACACTAAGCCACAAGTACTAAATAAGTCCCAATTTAGTAACGAGCTTCTAAGGTAAACAATTGTAATATTCTAACAAGCTATACACATATACAAGATATATCTAAACAAGCTATGCAAGTCAATGATATTCTATATCATGCTAAGTCCAATTACCATTTCAAGATGTCTCAAGTACTAATTCTACATCAAATTAGTAACATGCTCACAAGGTGATTAAACAGACTACATTTCAAGGGATTATCAACCTATTACCTCCAATATCAATTTAAGTGACCAACACACTTAAAATAAAATTAATTAAGCTCATTAATTAATTTTTTTTCTAGATTTTCAAACATATCCAAATGTCCTCAATTTAATATATCTTAAAGAACTCACTAAGACCTACTTTAATATCACATTACAAGTTGGTTTCATGCTTGATACAACTATGTGAATTAATCTTTCTCAAAAGATAAATATTAAATAAGTTTTGCAATTCTTACTCAAATGCTCCAAATTTAATATATGTTACACAACTCACCAAGGCCTAATTTACTAGCATGCCACAATTTAATTCTAAACTATATATCATCATTATAATTAAATCCTAAACAAAGAAAATAAATAAATTAAATTCTAAAAACTTGAACAAGGCATGCTCACAAGTTGTATATGCTTATAAAACAATCAATACAATAATAATATAAACCTAAGACACCCCCTACCTCAATTTGAGATGAAAATCTCAAAAGCCATCAAAACGAAATGGCTCCAAATCCGATAATACTTCGGGGTTTCGTCGGGGACAACGCCATGAACGATAAACTCCAAAGAGGACCTATGAAAATCACAACTTGACTTTAAAACCAAACTCAAAATTTGGCCAAAAATGAGTTCTAATAAGAGTGAAAGAAGCACGTAGTCAACACGAACACAAAACCCAAAGGCCCTACTATGTTCTGACAAAGAAATGAAGTTCAAATGAGGAGGGAGAATGTGGCAACCTCCCTTGGGCTGCCATGGAAGCTTCAGGTCGTGCAAGAGAGTGGGGAAGATGAAAAAATAAAATATCTCATCCCCCTTTTAGAAATATCAAAAAGTGCCCCGAACGGGTCCTACCGGGTCCGGAAAAGTGAAATTTGAGCAGACACGCTCAAATGATGAAACTATGTCAACGAAAAAGATTCAAAATGAGAAAATAAGAATAACGGAAGAAACGGCGTCAAAAAACCGAGTCCCGAGCAGAAAGTTATGCCCAAACAAGTTTGGCGCAAACCGGGGTCAGAAACCCTGAAACTGAAAAACATTGACTAGAAGGGACTTTTTAGAGTTTACGACTGGACGAAAAGTGAAAATGAATCCTGTACGAGGATTCAGGCTCAAAACAAAATAATTTGCAATAACTTTCATTAATTGCACAATGGCCCCCACAAAAAGGGTTAACTGCAAAACTGCCCCAGAATGAAAATATCTTCCAAAAGATATTTACGAAAAACACCCCAAGAAAAGAAATTAATTTCAAAGAATTATGCATCCATGCCCCTATGGACACCGGGAGCAAATAGAGTACTTTCCTACAAAAGTAAATATACGTATTTCGTGGAAATCACTCACGATAAAGATACGTGAAGTCAAAAACCAACTCCGAGCACAAGAAGTGAGGTTTTGCCAACAAAGTGACAAACGGAGAAAAGACGAAATAAGAAAAAGGACGAAATAGGAATAAGGACAAAAAAGTGAATAGTGTCGAAAAACGAAAATTGTGGAAATGACTCGGTCCTCAAAGGAAGTTGTCAATTCACGGAAAAGAGTCTCAAAAATCATTTTCGAGCACTCAAGACGACACTAAGTGACGAAAAACCATCCATAGAAAAGAAAAGACAACGAAAAAAATTTATCTGCAAAGTTTGAGGAAAAAGGAAAAGAAAGAAAATGACCGGGTCATTACAGTTACATATTCACAAGCCATTAACAGTAATAGTTCTACTAATTGAATTAATTCCATGAATGAAGAGTTGAAGTCAATGGAACAAAATAAAGTTTGGGAACTCGTTGAATTACCTGAAGGATTTAAACATGTTGAGTGTAAATGGGTCTTTAAGACCAAATGCGACTCTAATGGCATTATTGAACGATATAAAGTCAGACTTGTAGCCAAGGGTTTCACTCAGATATGAGGCATTGATTATAAAGAAACATTCTCTCCTATATCTAAGAAGGATTTTTTTAGAATTATCATGGCGTTTGTAGCTTATTAGATTTAGAGTTACATCAAATGGATGTGAAAACAACTTTTCTAAATAGAAGTTTAGAAGAAGATGTCTATATGGATTAACCTGAAGGCTTCACATCAAAGGGTAAAGAACACATAGTCTGTAAACTTAATAAGTTAATAGATGGACTTAAACAAGCTTCCCGATAATGGTATATTAAGTTTAATGATACTATTACTTCTTTTGATTTTAATAGAAATACTGTTGATTATTTCTTTTGGTTTTAAGTTTAATGGTATATTGCCGTTGATTTGAGTATTGCTTTTGAACTTTATCTTACCAAATTAAGTACACAGGAGGCCAATTATTATTAAGCCAAATTGATTTGTTTTTAAAAATTCAAAAATGATTTTCATATATATATTTTTACCATTTTTCTTTGTTTTCTTTTCAGTTTGTTATATTTTTTGGTGACTATTCGATCCCTAAATTTTAGTTTCTATGTTTTTTTTTTTTAATAAAGTTATAGTGTCGTCACTTTTTTGTTTTTTAGAACGTTCTTGATTGATAGCTTAAAAATGTTTGAAAACCTAACCGAGAGAATTCATTTCTAACTAGAAAAGGCATATTAGCAAACCCTTTAGGCTTCGAACTTTATCTATCAAATTGAGTACCCAAACCAAGAGGCCTAAGAATCATGATTTTTGCCATAATGACAAGAAAATATTAGAAAACATAAAAGTGAAAAATTTCTATCCCGTAAGTCCCCTAATTATTTCGAAATTCCCCCACCCCCCAACCCAACCCAAAAAACAACCTTCTGCCATTTCCGTACTTAAAATTCACAAAATGGGTACAAAGAAGACTCTGAAGTAAAATAATAACTTTTTGAAGCCTTTTTTCTGATACTCAAACGCACTGCTTACAATTTTTTTTTTTTTTTTTTTCTTTTAACTTTTTATTTTAAGGATTCAATACCCATTTGATAACCTTATTAGCTGAAGTCCAGACCGTGCCTGGCTGGAGCTTGTGAATCACCATTGTCGAGCCAATCTAAAACATCACAAATACTTCCTTTATATTCATTAGGAAGGTGGAAAGGGCATTTTGGAACTCGCCGGATACTACCATAAGATGAAAGGGCATTCATAATTTATATTTATTAGAAAGAAGCCTTCAAATATTATACTGTTATTACAAGCACACACACATATATATGTTTCATAACAACGAAGACCCTGAATTTAGCTTTTATACACAAACTTCTTAAGCTTTAAAACAGACTTCTCCATCACAAATCCATCCTTCTTTGGCGTTCTCTGTGTCCATAACATCGTCCTCAGTGTCATCTTTGGTTCCCCCGTCTTCCTTGAGAGCACATTTTGGATGGAGATCAAAATCACAATCGTCACAACTAAAAGACCAGACCTGGCCCTGCTCATCACAAGCGTCGCACGTGTATAACTGACACCGTTTGAGCACAAGCTCGTGCTCATCATGAAGCGTGTGCTTCACCTTCTCAGGCCACCCCTCTGCCATTTGCTCATATTGCACCTCAATCTCCTTTAGACGCTCCTCGGTGAAGGGATAAGCATCAGCCCCATGATAACTAATAAGATCTCTGGCTTCTGTAGTGACAGTTTTACCAGTTGGTCCAATTGCAACTAGCATGGGGATACCTTGGACTTTAAATGTGCGTTGCAAAGATGCCTTCCTCTTGTCACCAAAGGGAAGTGCCAGCCACGGCATCCCAGAAAAGAATTCATCAAAGGAGGGTTGGTCCCGGTCGCTAGAGATGAAAATCACTTCAAATTCATTATCCTTTTCCTTAATCTTGTGATATGCTTCTATCAGCTTTGGTAGAAAAGCGCGGCATGGAGGACACCAATGTGCTGAGAAGTATAGAATAATATTTTTCCCAACAAGATCGGAAACTGGAATCTGGAAAGAGTTTTTTTGTCAGTGACCAAAACAATGTAGTATATATAAGAGGAAAGCAGCGGAAAAGAAGATGGGGGGGGGGGGGAGCATTGATAAAATGAAACATCATCATATCAATACCAGGTAAGTTGAGCGAGTGGCATTCAGTAACCCCTCAGAATCTTACCTTTACTCCGTCTCTTCCAATTACAAAATTGTGATCTCCTGAAACCAAAATTGACTCCAATGTTTGAGCTTCCCGTTTTGCCTTCTCTATCTCCTCGAGCTCAGCGAACTTCTGAGGCGTAAAAGGGTATGCCATAATGCCATATTCTTCAATGGCATCAGCAACATTAGAGTGAAGAGTCTTCCCATCTGGCCCAATGATGACCAAAGTTGGTAGACCTGCAAGCTCAAAGTACCGCACCAGCTTCTCGCAGCTCTTGTCTTTAAAGGGCAGTGAGAACCAAGACATGCTTCCAAAGCCTTGAATGAATAATTCTTCATCATCATCAAGGGGTATCATCACGATTTCAAAGTTCTCTCCTTTTGCCTTCAACTTCTCATAAACTTCCATGAGTGCTGAAGTAAACTCAAGACACTTCTTGTACGAAGACAATGAGAAATACAGGCCTACAGTCTTCCCTTCAAGCTCAGATACAGGAACCTTATATAAAATGTGTAAGAATATATTCAGATTACGGAACAAAAAATATATAAAAGGGTTTATTTAAGACAAACAGAAGTAACCAAAATGTGAGTATTTCAGTGAAGACACTGCAATTGAAACTCACCTTCTTCCCATCGGCAGTAATTACAAAGTCACGGGAATGGGAGACCAAGACAGATCTCAAGGATTGTTCCCTCCTAGCTACTTCTTCCTGCTCCTTGATTTCTTTAACCCGTTCCGGGGTAAAAGGGTATCCTTCTGCACCGTACTCCTGGATGATCTGAACTCCACTCAGAGTCAAAACCATCCCATTTTCGTCAAGGATCACAAAGTAAGGTATTCCCATCACTTTAAACAAACCATCCAAGTGATCGCGTGTGTCTGAATCAGAAAATGGGATTGCAAGCCATGGCATCTTGGAGAAATACCCACTAAAAGATTCGTCATCTTCATCAGCCGAGACAAAGACGATCTCAAAATTTCCTTTCGGATAGAGATCATTGTAAACCTCCACCAGATTTGGTGTGAATCGTTGACATGGGCCACACCATGATGCTGAAAAATATAACCCAACTTTTTTCCCCTTTAAGCTGTCAATTTTAACCTATACAATTCAGAGTCTACATTCAGAATTTAACATATTAAATTCAACAGAAAAATCCTTCAGGAATATAATGACCAGTATAATTTAAACTGTCATTTTTTACTCCAGCATAACACCTCCAGTCAAAGAAACTTCTAAGAAGATTTCCTATGCATCAACAATATTGAATTTAGTGGCCCTTGTTGCTTCAGATTTAATCAGCTTTCTCCATCGAGTTTATTAATTCTTACATCAAGAACAACAAAACTTGGACGTGTTATATCATGATTAGTACAGTCACTAGCTGTTTGCCCCCCAATATCACGTGAAGAAGAAAGCTAAGTGGCTGGCATGTGCAATCATGACCAGATGGCATGTTGTATGAAGGAAGGTCTATCACACTTGGCAAATTTCACCAAAAGGGTCAAGGAAAACGCAAGAATGCCAAGGATGAATGGTATGAGGAACTAGTGTCGTTGATCACCAATCTCTTAGAGGATGACAATCTTGAGCGGATAGGAAAATACAGCCATTAGCATGGGACACATGGAGAGAGTCAAAGTGGTTAATTGGGATATCGAAATGCACATCCTACCTCTGCTTATTACGGCATTAGCTACAGGAATTAGTAATGGTTAGAAAAACAAATGGTTGATACACAGAAGCATTATCAAATGGAGAAGGATCAGAAAACAAATATCCAAACGTAAAAGGTTTTCAACCATAAGGGAATAAACCAACTGTAAAATGGACCCAATATTTAGTCATAAATCCAGGGATTAAATGGTCAAGGAACTCTTACAAAACCGCTCAAGGTTATTTAATCATCCGAAAATGTGGCTTTAGGTTATTCAAGATATGCAGAAATGGTTCGACCTGATCAAAATAGTTAATGGAAATGTGAGGACATGTATCTACCATCACACTCGACTTGGGAGGTTGGAAAAGTGGATAGCAAAGTGTACACCATAGAGACACCTAACAGAAGAAGAGGAGGCAGTTCTATATGAAATCTAACTGCCAAACAAACTGCACAAATAGAAGCCGGTTGCTTTAATGGCATCTATGCTAATTGCTACTTCATCCTACATATAATTTGTTCAATGGTCAATTTACACTAGATTGAAGTTCTTCTGTCGAGGTAGACTAATCTACAGGGAAGGGTTATTCCTACTTCCCTGTAGATTAGTCTAGAACTCTAGATACTAATAGCTCGTCCGACACGCTTCACACGCTCCATTCCATGGGACGTGGCATGCCCACAAATGAATTCTGAGACTTGTAGTCAAGCACCACTCACCCAACTACACAGAGAAGCATATGCTTGCCGTTTTAAGCAGAGATACTGGTCCACCACTGGCTAAATGATTTCATAATATGAAGACTGATGGCAATTACATTTGAATTTGCATCTTTAATTGTCCAATTTGTTAAATACAAGGACTGAATTTACTCAAAAAAAAATCTAAAATATGGTCTTCAAAATTTACAATTCATCCAATTTATCATAACATGATAAAAGAAATTCATTACATGTCCAAACAATTCTCACAAGCATCCTCTGAGTTTCAGCAATATTTTTCAATCATCCAATATAAGTATGCATGACATACATACTACACATATATACATACATACCACACACATATATATATATGAAACCAGGGAAGTAGTTTAATTAAACAATAGAGAACCAAAAGAATAAAAAATACATAATTTGGAACAGACAATAGTCAAAAAGAATTGGAACCTGATCACCGTTGTTGCGAATTAGAAAGTCCTTCTCTGAAGAAGAGAGCAGAGATTGGAGATCATGTGAATCTCCGCCGTTCATATGCTCTGCAACACCATCATCATCGTGGTCCACCATTTTTTCCTCTCAATTTCGGACTCACCAAACAAACAAGAATGCCAGACTCTAGGCCACGGTTCAATGAATGTCCGTGTGCGTATATATAGAGAGAAATGAAGAAATCGGAGATACTATTCGTTTCATACATTTAAAAAAAAGAAAAAAAGAAAAAAAAAATTATTTCGGTTTCTAGATTATTCTTGGTGACCAAGGAAAGGTTATTGAAGTTCGCGTAGGGACAACGTTCGGTTGAACATTATTCCAGCATGAGTTGTGAACAATCTGTGTGGTTTTTGAAATATCAGACCTATTCTCTCATCTGAGCCGTACAATGCGACAGGTCCAGATGCTAATGTTCTAAAACCGACACGTCACAAAGCCTAATAATGGCACACGCAAATATTTACCAGTTGAGGAGACAATAAATAAATCTAGGAAAATGATAGATGATTATCCATTTTTTATAATGTTAAAGTTATAATTATAATTTGATTATTAAAAATCTAATTTCTTAAAATATAAAAATAAAACTCGGGAGGTTGATGACGATATCTAAGGTGAAAAAGGAATGTTATGCACATTTTAAGTCTGGTATATTTTTAATTATTCATCAATAAATTAGGTGACACTCCCTAGAATTTGGACAAATTTTACCTAAAAATATCTTTAAAAAATGGTCATTTAGATCCCAAATGACTTTTTAGTCAATAACACCGCTAAAAAATGCAAAATAACAATTTTATTCCTAATATTTTAATACTTTTTATTCCTAAATATTAACACCCCCATTAATTACTTCCACTGCCCGCACTCCCACCATTCCTCTCTCTTCACCATTACAGATCTGAGAGCAGCTACAGCAGGCTCTTCAAATCCCATTTTTCGCGAGTTGAAGGGCCTATGGGCGTGTAGCCGGCTAGCCAAAATTGGTAGGGCCCAGTTTTTCTCGCGGGCAGGCTTGCGGTATTCAGTGAGCCGGCCCGCGATCGCTGAAATTTTTTTTTTTTGTTTTTTTTTTTTTGCATCAAAACAGCACCGTTTCCGCTGCACCTGTTTTGTCTTATTCCACTGCCCTGGAACAGTGCGCCGAACAGTGCCTTAAGGCATTGTTTGGTAGAATTTTTTTAAAAAAAAAAAAAACTAAAAATAGGTTATTTTGAGCTTTTTTTTTAAAAAAAATAAAATAAAATTCATAAAATAAAAAAATATTTTTTAGGCACTATTTGTCAAATAAAATTAAAAATAAATTAAAAAAGCTTTTTTTTTAGTTTTTTCCCCTTAAAATTGGTTTTTATTTTTTATTTTTTTGCTTTAAATTTTAAATGCGTACCACAAATAATGCATTTGGCCGTTAAGGCATTGTTTGGCCGACACAAATAGTGCATTTAACGGCTATAATTTTTAAAAAAATTTTTTTTTTGTAAAAAAAATAATTAAAATTACAAATTCATCTACTTATTTCCATAGGATTAAAAATAATTATATTAAAAATATGGCCGTTACAAATATAGTTGTTTAGGAAAAGTAAAAAAAATAAAAAATAATAATAATTTTAATTTATTATTATTATTTTTTTTAGAGAGAACGAAAATTCGAACAGTCTAATGGAGTGCATGTTTCTGGATAGCGAAAGTTACTGACGTGGCTTTTGAAATTACTGATGTAACTATTAAAAAAATTGATGTGATATTTTTAGAGAGCCAAAATTCGAAAAGGCTGATGCAGATAACTTGAAAGAACACCTCCCTCTCTCCCTCTCCCTCCCCCTCTCTCTCTCTCTGCGTGCGTGCGTGCGGACATTTCCATCCGAAGCTTGTCAGACTAAACTATTAGATTATCAAAGTAGTAGAGTATATATCTTCGGCCATGATCTGAGTGGTCTATCCATGAAATGAATTATATTAGAAGATCAAACAATAAACAATGAACTCAATGCGATACATAATTTTTTCTCTTTTGTTTACCTTCTAACCCTTTACGTTCCCTTTCTTGAATGTAACCAAACATTATTGTTTCTCTATAGAACAACTCGTCAGTCAACTATACTCAATCATGCCTATAGAGACAAAATACTACTCAATTCTCTCTCTCCAAAGCCTTTTAAAAAGGCCGTTCTACCTTATCATTCAAGACTAGCCTTTTAAAAAGGCCTTTTTATATAAGTTTTACATATTTAGTGAACATGTAAGTATGATTGGAAAAGTGGACTTTTTCAGTATGTAAAAAGGTAATTTCAGATTTATATGTGTAGTTGGTGTTGATATTTTTATACATATGTTTTGATATATATATATATATATATAAATAGAGAGAGAGAGAGAACAACACTTATTTTAGGCCTCCTTCTTATGATGAGGCCCAATAAAATATTAACAAGTATTTAAGTTTTTCTTTTTTTTTAAATTGATGATTAGAGACAATAGAAACCGACCATTCCCTCGTTATGTCTCTACTTATGTGTTTTTAATTAAAATCAAACAATGTTTTTCACTTCAGTGAATCGGACCATGTGAGTTGAATTGATCAATGGCCATCTTCATTTCAGGACAAGTAGTTAATCATTCCACCGCCGGTAGCTTTCGAGTCCATACTCCTCTACATCGATGTCATCTTTTATGGACAGTGGTGGTGAATTAATATATATTGACGTTTTCATCTGATCACTTGAGAATGCATATATTATATAGTATAGATATAACATAAATATATATTATATATAATAATCATAATTTTACAATTACAAAGTACTGAAACCAAATTTACAATCAGCAATGGGATTTTCTTGGTAAAAATATATAAAATAAATTTTTTTTTTAATGTTTTTTGTTGTTGTTGCATACTGATTTTGTTTTGCCTAAGATACTCTTACCATTTTTCTAATGGAAATGGTAGATACACGTCACACGTAGTTAATTTTTGCACTATATTTTTCTCTAAAATAATACATATACAAAAAAGCTATATTTTACTTCATAATTTTGATTTCTTTACTAAGTAAGACAAAGTAAAAAGGTAATAATGTCATTTTATGTGTAAAAAGTGTTATGACATTGCTAAAAAGTGACATTTGAGGTGTGAATGAAAAACGGACCAAATATTTGTAATTTGAGTAATACTTATTTTCGAAAGATATCTTTATATAATATTTCGCCAAACATAATTGGGTTTATTTCGTCATTGAAATAAACCCAATTAATTAAAAAATAAATTTGATTTTTTTTTACATATTTCAAAAACTATCTCAATCTAATAATAGACAGAATTTATAATTAGTAGGGATGTCAATTTTTACCGTCCCGTTAATAACGAATATGTGAATACTTCTTATACTGTTGGGGTGGGTATGAATACAAATTTTGTACTCGTCGTGGGTCACGGGGCGGGTAAGGGTTTCAGTGTATATATCCCAGGGGCCCCGCCCCGCTAAACATATTACTATATTATATATATATATATATACCCAGCCGCTAAAATAATATATATATAATATTAATAACTTATTTTAGCGGCTTACCCAGTTACTCATCTCTTACAATCCTAATTTGGGATGTAAACTTGGTATTAAATTTACTTTTGCTTTATTTATGGTAGAAGTTGGAGTTTAAAACTTTTTATAATTTGGTTGTATTAAACTTTTATTTTTGTTTATTATGTTCTCTGAATTATGTTACGTGCATGTTATTTTTTTTTATTTTTGTTGTCATACATAATTTCATTTATGTTGTGCCATTCCCAGGCTTTCTACATTTAAATAGCAGGAGCTTAAGTTTCAAAAAGTGGGAGAAAAAAATTTATTAGCGGAGTGGGCATAGAGGCACAGTATTTCCCAACGGGGCGGAACTGGACATGAAAATCCAACTCGTCGCGGATCTCGGGGCAGGCATGGACTTGACAAAAATTAAAAGGAGCGGGGCGGGATTTAGGGAAACCCGCTCCAAACCCGCCCTGTTGCCATTCCTGATAATTAGGTCGTTACCAATATCTCGATAGCCTAATGAATTAGTATCTTCGGTAAACTTTAAAGTGTCATGTTTCAACTCTCTCCACTAATCTAACTTCTAATCTTCTTACCTTTTAATAAAATAATAATAATAATTAGCCCTAACGAGGGCATCTTTTAATTGCATTAGTCTTTATTGTATTAATATCCTACTAACTAGGAGACCAGACTTAAGTCCTTTTTTGGGAGTCTGATTGTGAATCGTATTGGCTAAGAAACCGGATAAGCCTTTGTATTGGAACCGGATAAGCCTTTGTATTGGAGTCGGCATTGAATATCATTAATTTCTTTATAGCTTGTTGATCTACCCCTAAAGCAAGCTTTAAATATATATATATATATATATATATATATATATATATATATATATATATATATATGTATGTATCTATCTATCTTATTGGATGTACCGCACGTTGAGTCATCCTTCAATGCATCTTTTGTATAAGGATATCTACAAGCTGGTGGACCACAGGCTAATGATTTTGCTGATGGTGCGTAAGGAAGACGCAAGGCCCATTTATTCCACTAAACTAGGGCCACCATTTGTGAATTTTGTTATGGGTGCTGTCCATTATAAGGATGCGGTGGTGGGGACATTCAATGGGCCTGAAGCTTTACTAGGCTTTTCTTTAAGCCCACTCTTATTGTTTGCCATTAAGCTTGTGCAATGTACTCTCACTGCAGATGGAATTTTCATATGGCAGGCCCATCTGTTACTGGGCTGCTGGATGAAAGGGTGTTTGGTTTCTGTGGGACAGTGGAATTTGGGTTAACGGTCTCGTGGTTTGTGTGATGCACTATAATTGCTTTGGTTTGCCTTTTGGTTTGCTTGGGGCTTCTATGGAGTGCTTGGATTGCCTTTTGGTTTGAAGTCTCTCTATGTATGCTTGGCTGATGGCTTGTTTGTTGCTTGTGGTTTGTATGTTCTCATCCTCGTATTTGCACCGGATGCTCTTTGTAATCTTGTTGTTGTGTAGTGCAGTTTTTGTTTGCGAGGAATAAAAAATAAAAAATAAAAAAAAACTCAAAATCTCAAAATACTGAAATGTAACGGTTAGAAGAACAAGTCTGAAGAATATGTTACTAACATCACACATTGTTGTCGTTATTTTTGTCTAGAGTTTGAATATAACGCAACGCGGGCAAAACCCAAAAGCCCTGCCAACTTATGTATTAAGAGATACAGTATAATGCTTTGGACCAAAAATCAACTACCTTATTGTAGAATTTGAGAGTTCCAATTTGTCATGGTTATGTTGCAAATGGTGATCACAAGGCAGGACAACTATGGAAATCGGTTTATTTGCACAAAAGTAAAGCGTATCTGCCCTTATAAAACAACATCGGAAGGGTCTCAGTACTCATGGGCAAATTCGAGAAAATATTAGGTAGCTGGAGGTATCGACCGAGAATATAGTATCCCAGCCAATGATTTTATTTTTTGTTTTTTTATTAAATATAAAAAGTAGATAATTTTTATGTAATAGGTACCGAATGTGTAACTATGATTGATCTCATTTTTATATTTGTTAACATTTAATGATAAATTTGAACATTACCTAATGGTTTAATTGTTAGAACGTTCCACTCTCTTAGTAGGTGTTGGACTCCCCCTCCCTAAATAAAAAAACAAAGGTAGTGGTGAATTTGTACTTTACAACACAGCATATCTCAATATTTAACGGAAACACCAATATAGGGACTCATTTTTTGAATTGCTTACATTTGATTGAATTTGCTAGAAGGCATACATGAAAACCAAAAGCTACCAATACAAGTCAAGTTTGTCAACTGAGCAAGAACATACAAATCCCAACAAGTCTTTTTACACGAAATTAAGGTCATAAGCCTTGACACCATTTAGTTCAAAAATTCCAAAATGCTTCTCAAACTCCTCTCCATTCTTCTCATTCTCATCAAACAGATCAAACAAGAACACTTCAACTCCGACACCGGGCCTTTTTGGTGTACCAACATTGTTCAATGCTCGTCTCACAACTTCTCCATTATAAGCCAATGCATTCCCGACACTCGCCGCCTCACCACCGGACGTGGGCCACCCTGTTTCTGACACCACCACCGAAATTCCGGCGAACCCTTCTCTCTCCATCGCAGACACAAATGAATCAATAGTCGCATCGAAGAGATTGTCATACACCAAGTTTTGGTCCGGTCCAACGTTTTTGGATCGAAACAGAGCATAGTCTAGTGATATGTCTTGTGGGTTGTTTGTGTAGCTGAAAAATGGATACACATTGACCATCAATGGTGACCCACTGTCACGCAGGAACTGCAGGAGAGGAATCATAGCGGATCGGAGATTCGGGTCGAAAGTTCCGGCAGAGGGTGGGTATGAATTGGAGAGTATGGACGCTGCATGAGGCGATGAAAGCTTGATTGTATTAGCAAAGCCTAGTGTTTGAAGAGCTTGGTATAGGTTGGCAATGGCAGGGACCAAAAGTGGAGTCAAGAATGGATCTTTAAGGAAGATTTCGTTCCCGACGGCAATGTATTGGACTTGATCGGCGGTGATATGGGCAAAAATGTTGAATTGAAGCCATTGCAGCGAGGTACTCACAGTGCCACCGGCAAGGTCAGGGAGGACTTCGTTGGGGACTCCGATCATGAGCAAGATTCCGGAGCCAGAAAATGCAGAAAGTGTTTCTGGGTCGGCTTTGAATAGCCGAATTCTTGAGATTCCATTGGATTTCAGGAGGTTGACGGCGGTGGCCGGTGGTGGAAGGTTGTTTGCGACTCGACCGTAGCATATTCCGATTGGTGCAGAGGCTGCAAAAACAGAGGAAATAAAATCATTGTCAAGAAAACAAGTAAATTTGAACATTAAAAAGATTAATCGCACGAAATGGGCGTCGATGAAACCTGTTAAATGTGAAAGAGGGATCAAGATAGAGGTTAGATAGAGAAGGAAGTGTTGAATTCCCATTCTTGATAGCATCAAGTTAGATTGAAGAAGGACTAATTGACTTCTTTTATGGGGATACAGAGGAGTCCAATATCTATATATAGGATGACAGAGAGAAAGTGTTAGGTTCTGACTCTTCTGAGCATAGGTTTGATTTTGGTTTGAAATGGGCTTTTGTTTATTTGTGTTCCGTTGAAATATAATAACCGTTGTAATATGGTGCGAGGGCACTCATTTTACCCTTTCTAACTTTGAAATTTAAATGGGTTCAAACATCTATTTAGATATTGGTCGAATAGTTGTTATTCAACCAATTAAAATAATAATAATACTAACAACTAGAATGGAACAACTCCTTACCAAAAAATATATATATAATAATAATAATAATAATAATAATAATAATAATAAAATGAACAACCAAAACCTATTTATATTACCTTGAATGAAGGAAGAACAAGATTTGGAATGTTAATGTGGCTTCGAGAAAAGATTCTTTCAATAAGCTCATTGTGAGATGTTCCTAAGTAGTAGGTTCACAAGAATTACCACTTTTATTCCTTCGATAATTTGTGTACATAAAGAAATGGAAGGACCCATCTGTCTGTGTTGTAGCCTTGTAAGTTGTAGGTCACACACACAAACACACACACACAAACACACACAAATTTAGAAATCAAGTTTGTATGATAAATTGTCATTGATAAGAGGCAAGCCTGATCTGGATATTTTTATTTCCTGCAACTATCGATAGCTGCCTGCTAAGATGTGAGATAGACAAAACCCATTATTAAAAATAAATAAATAAATAATTATGATTGTGGAAGAGTTTAATTTAATTGCTATCTACCTACTTCTTCTGATTTTGGTTTGGTTGGTTTACCCCAGCTTGAGGTACTTGGAGCTTGATACAATGTTATTGATCTCATTCTCTAACAGTCAGTCATAAGTTTTTGGTTGGTTTACCCCAGCTTGAGGTACTTGGAGCTTGATACAATGTTATTGATCTCATTCTCTAACAGTCAGTCATAAGTTTTTGGTACAATTAATAGTCTAACATGTTAGGCTCAAGTCCGAATAATAACACAGTATCTACTTGCTTCTATGAGAACTTGAACCATCGACCTTTCATTCCTGAAGGGGCGAGAACTGAGAAGGTACTATTTAGATTATCTAACATTTTGAATTTTTTGAAATAATTGGGGTCTTCACACAGAAGTGTCATTTAGAAGTTAGCATCACCAGCACATGCATGAGTGGGCATGTGCAGTGCTCTCTTCCTTTGTGTCATGGAAGATTGACTGTTTCTTTTGTGGCCACCAATGTTGCTGTTTTTCAGACTTCTTTATTTCTTGGTAGCTTCGAAAAAAGCAGCAACTTGTTAGTGTGTGATACATCAGTGAACAAATCATTGGAATTTACATTAAACCCCACCCTAGTCTACCAGAATCTTTCTTTGGAAAAGAAAAGAATAAAGATGAAAACCGGGTAGTGTGTGTCCCCATTCATTTTGCTGATAAGCTCCTGCATCGAAAAAAAAAAAAAAAAAAAAAAAAAAAAACACAAAAACCGTTACATGTTATTTTCACACTATATTTTTTTTCCTTCCACACTTAAGCTACAACAATCCTGCATCATCAATAGATTCATGTTTATATTAGTCGTAACAAAGTGTTTTGTCAACTGTCAAGTTAGCTTACGCAACTTTCTTTCTTTATTCAGGTTTGGAATCGATTGTATAAAAAACATGGAGCCACTGAGCAATCAGGAGGCTCTCTTGATAGCATTTACTCATAGAGCCATCGAAATCATGTGATCAAATAATCAAACAAATAGTGGCAGATTAATACACATACATACTCTGCCTTTGATAAACATGGTTAACACAGAAGATTATTCCATTTCAACTATGATAGTAAAACAAATAAAGTTGAGATAAGTGAACCAGCTCTGCTCTTTAATTTATGGGGTTTGGAGACTGATCTCCAAAGGAGCCAAAATCATACTCTCTCTCCATACAAAGCAACAACAATACCTCTTCTTCTGTAGTAAAGAACACAAAGAATATCTTTAGTTGTCTCTTTATTAAAGAAAGTTCCTGTTTTTTGAATTCTAAAGCCTCAAATAACAGCCCAATTTTGAATATAAATTATATAATATAACCCATCCTCACAGACACTGATCTTGCTTCTTCCATGATCTCTCCCTTAAGTCTGCCTTTGTTTCCACTCAAAGAACAAGACCTGAATAAGTTTTGTACTAAACCTCTCTCTCACTCCTCTGTGCTGTCTCTCGCTCCTCTCTCTCTCTCTCTCTCTCTAACTTGCAAATGTCACAGCCAGTTGATGTTTATCCAATTACTGTCACAAGACCGCCTCCATCCCACTCCAATGAATCATTTGGGACAGTTTTCATAGTCCTGGCTGTGATAGTTGTCATATCTGCCATTGCTTGCTTTCTCGGACGGCTCTGTAGCAAGCGCTACCACCATCCAAAGGCTAAGCAGAGCCAAACCTTTCACCCAAAAGAAGGTGAAGCCCAGCAGAGCCACAAGATCTCTCGCCCCAAAGAAGGTGAACCAAAGCAGAGCCACAAGACCTTTCGCCCCAAAGAAGGTCAAGCTAGGCCGAACCACACTGCCTTTCACCCCAAAGAAGGTCAAGCTAGGCCAAACCACACTGCCTTTCACCCCAAAGAAGGTCAAGCTAGGCCGAACCACACTTCCTTTCACCCCAGAGAAGGCGAAGCTAGGCAGAACCACCCGGCCTCTCACCCGGGAGAAGGGGACATAGAATTCGGGTTTGACATGGGAATTCCAGCTGCCAAAATGCCTGGCCAAGGGAACTCCGAAGGACCAAAACTATCTGAAAATGGTGGTCAATTTAAAGGAGAAGTGAGGTTTGCCCATGATGGATAATATATAGGTAGCTCAGGCATGATGGTAATGAATGAGGAACTCCCTCATTCATGTTTTTTTCTGTGTACTGGTTTTGCTATCAAGATCAATATTATTATTTTCTCTTATGTTGTTACACCTCTAAAATTACATCGCTATGTATGGTATGGTGAAATGTAATGTTTTCTATTTACCAAGAAATATAGAAAGGATTTTCAGAGCAAAAGAGCGTAATTCAGAGACTAAAGACTAGCAACGAGGCATTTTGCCTTCACCATAGACCAATAATCATCAACACATATTCCAATCAGGACTCAAACCCTGCACCTTCTTCCTTTGGGAGTGACCGGAAACACCATCCAAGCTAACAGGGCAAATGAATCACTGTGCTTTCTCCAATAAATTAAATCTTTAGTGTTATTTTATTGTTATTGAAAAAAAAAAAAAAAAAAAAAAAATCTAGTTTTAAATCAACATGGAGGTACAAATAAATCGTTCTCCATGTATCTCAATTTTCAATATTAAAGTAAAAAACTAATAGGGTATCAAACACAAACAAATAAAAACCTAAATAATTGCGTGAAGGCCCTGAACTGTGTTACACATGCCTGGGTTCCTTGCACACCAAAGTGGTTGAAGAGGTTCAGCTCCAACTCCCCTGGTTACCATTCTGTACCTCCACTCGTTCAACCTATCCGTTGCCTCAGCAGACCTCTTCATGCCCGTCTCATCACGGTTTCCCGACCATAATGCCTCTGCCATTGCTGAAGCTCTAGGCCAAACACGTGAATCCAATACCACTGGATCTGCTTGCTCGGACCACAGTGCCACCTCGCCTCCTAATACTAATTTGGCCTCCTCCTTACTCAACCCGAACGTTATATCATAATTATATATGGTTTGCCATGTTTTGAAGGGACCACACCATGACCCGCCATTCCCCTGGTCAGTACTCGGTGGTTGATCATACTGACTGTCATTCCCAACAAAACCACCATGTCCACAATCCAAGTAGTAGAAGTCTGAAGAAGAGACAATGGCCCGGTACCCAGAAGTAACAATTCGTTTAGTGTTATTTGGACCATTATTCCATGTTTGTAGAATGGTATTCTCTGGGGGAAGAAGATTTTGGCTCACCTTTACATTGGCATCCAATAAAACATCTGCCCAATATACCACAGTGCGGTTTAGGGAAACAATGTATGGTAAAGTAGAGTTAATAAACGTTTCAAGGAGCTGACTAAGGGTTCCATTTATTGATAGGTAGGCCTGAACAGATGGATCAGCTTTCCAACATCCCGGGATGATCTCATCACTCCCTGCATGGTAGAATGGTTCTGGGAACATAGTTGAAGCATCACGAATGACATTTTTGACAACCTCATAAGTCTTGGGCTCTAAGGGGTTGAGATGACCAGTTCCCGGTTCAGATGCAAGTCGATCAGGCCATTTGCTTCCTGAAGGCCACCAGAACATGTTTGCACATGTGACAATCTCAGGGTAAGCTTCAGCCCATGATCCTGTATGTCCTACAATATACACAAAGCAATTTTATCATTGTATTCAAACTAAAAATAACATGTTACCAGGAAGTAAAAAAAAAAAAACAGAACGATAATATATAAAGTAAGCAACTGAAGATCAACAAGCTCATAACTCCACAAGCTCATAATCATTTTCAGATTACACAAAGAACAAAGTTACCTGAGTTCAACTCATTATTGGGTGGATTTAAAGTTTGGTCAAAATTCGCAACAAAGTTATTCGAGTTCAAGTCATCACTGGTCGGATTTAAAGTTTGCTCAAAATTCTCGGTAAACATGCCAAATTTTGAAGTTCATTAAAATTTTAAGCCAAACGCAAGCAGACATCAGTTGCAACCAAATTATTAATACCCTAATAGTCATAGCAACTGTGAATTAAAATGAAGTGAAGTACATTTTTTACACTTGAATTATATCTGGTGCGGATAAATTTCTTGTTGGTGAGCAATAGATCATTTCTGTGATATATATATATATATATATATACCCATTCTTTTCCAACTTCTAAGTTTTAATATACATATATGTATATTTGTGTGTATATATATATGATGTGCATGTATGTATACCCATTCTTTTCCAACTTCTAAGTTTTAATATACATATATGTATATTTGTGTATATATATATATATGATGTGCATTGCCTAATGCCTATGTAATATATATAATATGTATATATATATATAGTATTTACCACACTACTACATTGCTGTTGAAAATGAAGTGAGCCCTGTTAATAGAAATAGGGTTTGGATGCTACTTCAACTCACCTGGCATGTCGATTTCGGGCATAACCCTAACCCCATGTTCTAACCCAAATTCCACTATCTTCTTCACATCCCCCGGCGAGTACTGCATTCCGGCACCGTACGATCCCTTGGCCGCCAGATCGGGCTCCGAAGGCAAAACCAAAGGAAACGAATGCGAGTCCGTGACGTGCCAATGGAAAGCATTGAGCTTATTCTCACTCATAGCCCCAATCAGCCTCATCAAATCCCCAACTCCATAGTAATTTCTCGATGTGTCCAACATCACACCTCTGTGCTCGAAAATGGGCCTGTCCCAGACGAACAACCCGGACGCGACTCGTGCCGGGTCGCCCCAAACGAGTTGCGAGAACGTCTCGAGCCCTCTCATGGCGCCCCACACCGTCTCGGCCGTCAGATTGGCGGACGATCCGACGGCCGGGATGGTGAGGGTGTACGACTCGTTCACGCCGTGATGTAGCGGAACAGTGAGGTCGGTGACGCTGAGAATCAGGGATTGTAAAGGCGTTGATGACGTGGAGTTGACGGCGGGGGCGACGAGGGGTACGTGGTGCTCGGTGAGGACTTGACGGAGGTAACGGTTAACGGCTGGAGTTAAGTATGGGTGGTCTGGGGATGACATGGTGAAGAGTGGAGAGAGAGTGATGGCTTGTGGGTGGGGCCATGAGAAGGTTCTGGGCTTGGGCCAGACGTTGATCGGAAATTGGACGGCGGAGATTGAAGATGTGGGGGTTGATAGTAGAGAGAGAACGAATATAGAGAGAGAAATAAAGAACATGCTCTTACCCATTATGGTGGTGCCAAGTAAGAGAACTACCCTTTAATATGTAGGTTCTGTGTTCGTTGGTCAATTCATTATTTTCTCCTTAATCTTTGTATAGATCTGATATGTTCTGTTAGTTTGTTTGAGCATCCTACAAGTGTAGTCAATAGTGTTCTAAATGTTATAAAAATACAGGAAAAAAGTTACTATGTATATCAACAAAGATATAAGTGCAAGGAAGAATTACAACCACAAACTTTTATTGTTTTTCTTCTCAAAAGGTTCAAATCTAGCAACTTTTCTTGAATTCAACTCTTGTGATACATGTTTCAATTTTAGATTATTGCTAGGATTTGAAAGTCATTTCACCGTTTTACTTCATTCGCCCCGACATTTCACTGCACACAATTTTTTTCATGTCATGCATTCTGCATAATTATAAATGAGGTTGAAGATGCAAGAAAAATTATCTCTCAATTTGGAAAGGATAATTTTACACTTTGAATATTTTTCAACCCCTTTTCCCTTTCTTTTCGGTCTATTTATAGACTATTACAAATATTCCAAAAACTTTCTAACTAACTCTTTACGTTGGGTTGCTATGACCCCAATTCTTTTTATCTTAAATTGGGCTTCCAAAATGATCTTCCAGTCCTGGGCCTGATCAATGAAGACTTGGTTTGGATCTGTTGCTTTTGCCTGACCCATTCCTAGCAATATGAGTCGCGCACGGCCCAGGCCATTTTTAGTATCCTTATCTACCCCCATAATCTCTCCCTAATTAATTAGGGTAAGATTATCGAAAGAACACAATCATGACATGACGGCTCGAGGCGGTGACGTGAGGAAGCGAACGGTTGGCTCAGAGACCCACGCTTTGAGATTGATTGCACCATTATTGCTGTAGTTCCTTAGATGTTGAATCATTTTCGCTTTAAAAGCCCAATCTTCCCCCGTTTTGTCTTCCTTTTATCTTTCTCACTTTCATCCTCAAGCTCTATCTTTTCTAATTGTCTCTGTCAACTGCTAGTCTTCTCCTGCTAGCTTTCCTTGTCTTCTCCGGTGAGTTTTCCCTTTGTGATTCTTCAACTTTCGCTTTGATACAGTGTACTCTGCAAACCCCCTTTCTAAGGTTAGTTCTTATTCCTTACTGTTTTTCAAAAGCTCTATTCCTTACTATTTTTCTTGACAGAAAGAAAATTTAAAATCAAAAATCCTTTCCGCCATTATTATGGCTCCTGAGTTAGAGGCTCTTTGCTCGAGGAACAAAATTTCTAACGATGTCTCCCTTAGGGTTTACCCCGTGAATTTGGATGAGAAATCTGGTGAGGGTCTCCTTCCAAGGGAGGTTCTCTTTTCTGCTCTTCACTTGAATGTAGTTAGATTTCATTTACACTCGTTCCTCTATTATGTCTTCAGTAAATTAGGGTTTCCCCTCTTCAGGTTAACTAGCTTCCTTAGGGTAATATCAGTCCTCTTGATTTTAAATCGTGATAGAAATCTTGACTTAGATATTATAGACCTTCTCCTTTGCTACCGAGTTACCAAAATCAGAACCAACGAAATGTATTTTCACTTCTTTCCCATCGAGAAGCGATCTATCTGTACGGACAAGCTCTCATTTGAAAAGGGTTGGAGGAAAAATCTAATTAGGGTTAGTGGAAATTGGCAAACTCCGTTCACTCAAACTTTCCCTATCCCGATCACTTTTGGAAAGTGCTATGTCCCTCTGTATAAGAAGTTTAGGAAACACCCGACCGATTGTCACTGTAAAGTTTGTCTGCCTCATTTTTGTACTTTTCTTTGTGATTGCTTTCGCATTCCTCATGATAAATTGGTTTATAGCGTTTGCAGGGCTAGAATTGACCTTCTGGAGGAGAAAGTTCTGAACGACGTCCCCTCTACCACTAACCTGCTTTCCCCAGACAACCTTTTTAACATTTATACCCATGGTGCTACCATGGAACATATTCAAATTCCCTCGTTCAGTAGGAGAAGAAGACGTTCCTCTGTAGCCGCTCCTGCGGCTACACCGGTCGCCTCTGTTTCCACTCTAGCCGTTTCAATTATGGCTAAAAATGATGGGCATCCTACCACTGAACGTTCTGCATCCACCTCGGCCGAAGTTCAGTCTACCTTGCCGAACGATGAACCTTCTGAAACCCTCAATGAAACCTCTCCATTAGCTACTCAGAATGCTGAGGGATCTCCTCAGAACGCTGGGGGATCTTCTCAGAACGTTAGGGGATCCTCCCTAGTCCGAGCCCATGTTTCAGAGAAGAGTCTGGGCAAAAAACCCCAACGAGAGGATGGTTATAACTAGAGTGTCCTTCTTCCAGCCTAGAGAGCCCGAACTTATAGGGTCATCACCTTTTCCCCTTCACCTCAAGTAGCTATTCCAGAAAGTAAGTCAGCCAGAACCTCTGTCTCCTCCCCAGCAGTGGTTTCATGGCTCCTCTTGCTCAGACGGGAGGATGAATCAGTAGTGGCCTCTACTGACTCTATGTTTAAGGATCATGTCACTTTCTTTGCCTATTACAGGGGCATTTGGACCCCCAAGGATCTCCAGATCTAGGAGAAAATGACTTATAGCGAAATGTACAACCGCTTTCCTGCAGCCGCTATGGAGGTAACTCTATTTCCTTTTGCACTATATTTCATTCATTTTTCCTGTTCAGATCTCCTTATAGTTGTACTTATCAGAACACTTGTGTTTTTGTGCAGACTCTGTTTGGGATGATCACCTTTCAGAGGACTCTTGAAACGGCAAACAAAAGAATTAGGGCCCTCTCTATTGGCCTTAACAGATCTGTTGAATCAGAAAAGATAACCGAAGCCAAGAACACAGAGTTGTTAGTCAAACTGAACAACTCAGAAAAGGAGATAAACAACTTGAGGGCTAGTTTGGTGAGGTGGAATGAATTGGAATGGAATGAGAATGGAGGTGGGAGTGGAATAGAATGGTCATTCCTTTTATTTGAAGGTAAAATGATTTTAATGGAATGACCATTCTCCAAGAATAGTGGGGAATGATGATTCCAACTTTAAAATTGGCACCAAACACGAGAATTGAAAAAAAAAAACCATTCAATTCCACTTTCTTTTATCCTATTCCACTGCACCAAACTAGCCCTGAAGGCTGAGAGAAATGCCCTAAAGAACGAGCGAGACTCTCTTCAGGATGAGCTGGACGTTCTAAAGATTGAGAAGAATGTCATGCAGACCGAGAGAGACGCTCTGAAAGCTGAAAAGAGGGACCTTCAGTGTACTCTAATTGCTGAACGGTTGACCCATTTCATTTCTGAAGAGAAGCTCTCAAACGAGCGCATCACTCTGCTGAATGTCATTGGCAGAGTTGATGGTGGCGTGAAAGCTCTTCACGTTCGTTTATCTCAGATAGGGGCTCTGAGGTATGCCGAGGGATATAGGGATGGTTTTATGGACCGATCTCCTCCCGAGGGTGAATCGAGCTCTTATGCAGGTTCGGATAAGCTTGACACTTCTTTGGGCATTGGCCCTCTGAGCATCTACAGGGATCCACTTCCCATTCCTGCTGAGAACATATTTATTGAGTGCAACGAGATTACAACCTCAGGGGTTATCCTACTTGTTCGTCCTTTGAATGTTCCTCCCATCACCACCATTGTTCCTCCCACAGCTGCTACTATTGACAGAGCTCTGCCAACTAAGGAAATCATCCATCTCGACTCTCCCTCCAGAGGTGAGGAAACAGCTAATGGTGGAAAAGGAGATAATGAACTGACTGGTGGCGATGAGGTAGCCAGGGATGATGGAACAAACAACAAGTCAGGCCCAAGGGGAGATATGACATAATAGGGTTCTGCTTGCCTTTGTATTTTTTCATTTCAACATCATTCCTCTTGTATCATGAACTCTTTAATGACGAATGAAAAGATAACTTTATTTTGCAAAGTATCCATATCCCAATTTGTATCTGAGTGCACTAACAATATAACTTTGCCATTTGATTTTTGTTTCTCGCAAGTGTTTGGCGCTCAGCTAACTGTGCCACTTGCCACCTACTTAGCTAAGTGCTTGGCGCTCGACTAGAATGTTACTTGCCACTTGATTTTGTGCAAGTTTTTTGTGTCAACGCCACTTGCCACTTGATTTTGTGCAAGTTTTTGGCGTTCGGCTCATAGCGCCACTTGCCACCTATTTGTCTAAGTGTTTGACGCTCGGTTAGAATGCCACTTGCCATTTGATTTTTATTTTGTGTAAGTTTTTGGCGTTCGGTCCATAGTGCTAGTTGCCACTTACTTGGCTAAGTGCTTGGCGCTCGGCTAGAATGCCACTTGCCACCTGATTTTTATTTTATGTAAGTTTTTGGCGTTGCTAGTTGCCACTTTATTGGCTTTGTTTTCTTTGCTCAATCAACTTTTGAAACCAAATGAATTCCTTTTCTAAATCTTTAATAATCTATACATTTGTAAGAGCGTAATTCCAAATGAACATTTTTTAGAATGTAATTCAATTTTTACTGGTAATACCTTTTTAGAGATGTGGCATTCCATGGTTTGTTGACCAATCTTCCAGCCATGGTCTCTAAATTGTATGCCCTCTTTCCTATTGCTTCTACAACTCTGTATGAACCTTCCCAGGGTGACATCATCTTTTTGATAATTCTCATTTTCTTTTTCAGAACTAAATCACTAAGTGCAAAATCTTTGTGCTTCACCTTTTTGTTGTGACTGTTCATAAGTGTTTGATGATATGACGCGAGCCTTAACGTTGCTGCATCTCTTTTAACTTCCAGCAAATCGAGGTTAAAATTCAACATACTATCATTCTGCTCTTGATTCCATGCCAAACTTTGAACAGTTGGAACTAAATGCTCGACTGGTATTACTGCCTCGGTGTCGTACGCCATAGTAAATGGGCTTTCTCCGGTTGGTTGCCTTGGGGTTATTCTACAAGCCCACAGGACGTTCGGAACCTCGTCCAACCATTTTCCCTTTTCGTCTTCAAGCTTCTTCTTAATACAAACAAATATTGTTTTATTCGTGATTTCAGCCTGACCGTTTGTCTGAGGATGGCTAACCGCTGCTAACTTTTGATTAATTTCATACTCTTCTATCAAATCCCTCACTTGTTTACTGTGAAGATTAGTCCTATTGTTCA